TAAAACGAAAGTTAGTTATAATCAAATATAATCAATTATATTCTTGTATAACCCACAATGAAAATGCTTCATATTTTAGGTTTTTCTATATTTACAGTATAAACAAAACACAAGTGGTTTGTTAAATTGAGTGTAAGGCCTATAATGATTTATGGTTGTCACTGATAAGGGAGAAGGCAGTTTCTTCCCTCTTCCCTCACAGCAGTACACAGGGAGGGGGGCTCCGGACTTAAGGAGAAACACACTGAGGCCCCAAAAAGGTGGTTATGTCATAGCCGAGAATAATATTTTGCAGGAGTCATGTCCTTTTTACACAAACATGGGAAGGTGTGTCTTATGCCATAGCCAATAGAATATGTCTGGTCATGTCTAGTCCTGTACATCAGAGGCCATGCCCAGTTTCCACAAATATGGATATGGAGGAGGTGTCTTAGGTTTTTCTATCCTGTTTTCGAGCATAAAGACACTGGCGGATGGGGAGGAACTTTCTTTTTGGGGGAGAGCGAGAGAGAGGGGGGGTTCCCCTGGTATACTCTCTCCCAGTAAGCTCTGTCCCTCAGAGCTGGGATAATAACTCTCGGTAAGGTTCTCTCAGACTTGGTAATCTCTCAAACTTCTTGGTTGAATGCTGAGTGAATTACTTTGTGAAATGAGTGGAATGAATTGAGATGTGTTTGTGAATATTAGGCCCGCCAGCTGTGAGGAATCTTCCTCCGAATTCATGCGGATAGGTATGGGTTTTTGAATGTTAATACCCGCCATCTGTGTTGGAATATAGGAGTGTGGTTGTGAATATTAGGCCCGCCAACTGTGAGGAATCTTCCTCCGAATTCATGCGGATAGGTATGGGTTTTTGAATGTTAATACCCGCCATCTGTGTTGGAATATAGGAGTGTGGTTGTGAATATTAGGCCCGCCAGCTGTGAGGAATCTTCTTCCGAATTCATGCGGATAGGTATGTTTTTTTTAAATGTTATTCCCGCCATCTGTGTCGAAAAAAAAGGTATGAAATTGATTGGGTGAAAATGAAAGTTTGAATGTGCTTTTTATTATCACCGGTCTTTTATGAGGAAATGCCTCTAAATTCTATCGGGAGATTTTAAATGTCACAACTGAATTGGGCAGATGAAGTTACAAATGATGGTAATAAATGTAAAACTGTAAATTAAAATGTTCATATTAGAACATGATCACAGCATGATAGATTTAGAATGATTATAATGTTGTAAAGAGAGAAGGTAAAAACCCTGTATTAGTTTGGACCTATTGTTCTTCAAATAAACTGATCCCACCTTTTGGATTGGGACAACTTAAAAGACATCTGAGCTCTCCTCTCCTGCTTCAAAGGTAAGATTGCACCCTGCCACACTCACACTTAGGTAGGGCCACACCTCATTTACTGATATCAAAATCCTTCGGGATCGCTTAAACAGATTTAAGAGAGTTGTCTGAATTGAAACAGCAGTTAATTGAACCTGGTTCTTCTGGGAGTTAATAGAGGTGAGATATTGCTGATGTTGGTGGATCTGAGCCAAGCAGTAAACTTACATAGACTCAATAACTTCGGTGAGATCAATTAGTAGGTCTGAATAATTTCCCGGAATAAATTATCAGCCCTCACCGACTCTTACAGTATACATACAAGCAGGTCACACAGTATGATCACAAATACATAAACTCTGTTAAAAATCAGTTTTTATTAATAATAATAAAATAATAATAAATGATATTTATATAGCGCCTTTCAAGGGACCCAAGGTCACTGTACATGGTGGACAAACAAAACAAACAGACAATCAACGGGCAAACCAAATAAATAAATAAAGGAAGCCAAAAAGTACAGGCTGCATATGTGTTCTCAGCCTTGGAGAAACTTGACATGTTTTGGTATGTGTCTGAACCTCTCTTTAGTGGTTCATTAATAAAACAGATATGTCAACGTGAGCTTACTTTGTTCATGTACTATTGAGGTTAATTTCAGTAGTTGTGTGCTATAATGTATTTACAAAGTGTGAAGAGGAGGCAACTTTAGAATAGGGAACCTGTTCAGGTCAATTAGAGTCAAATTAGCTTATTGGTTATGAACAAGACTTCACTTTAAAATAGGGAACATATTCTTAGATAGAAATACCTAATTTTGAGTTATTTAGACATATTGAGGAGAGCATATTAAGACCAAAGCTCATGTACAACAACTTCCTTACTTGCAATAAATAAGGAATATTAGAGGGTTATTGAGGAAAAACTCTCAACTAATGGCCTATTACTTGTAGAATATAGTCATGTAGAATAAGGCATTAATAGGTGTTTTATAATGACTAATAAAGAGCCAATATACTGCTAATATGCATGTTAATTAACAACTAGTTGATGGTTAATTTGTGTACCTTAATATAAAGTTGTACCGGTTATATGATTAACATTGATGTATATGTGCCTTATTCTGTATTTGACATAATTGTTTCAATAAAAAAAAATATATATAACTCAATATAATGAGATAAATAAGTCAATATATTGAGATAGCTATGTCAATATATTGAGATAGCTAAGTCGATATTTTGAGATAGCTAAGTCATGTACATTCTCAAAGTTTTTGAAATGACTGTTATTTTGTATTGATTGTTGTGCTTTTATTTATGTCTTAATGTGTGCATATGTACAAATGCGTCTCTGTTGATTGTGTGTGTGTATATATATATATATATAGGTATATATATATATATATATATATATATATATAGGTATATACATATTTTTAAACATATTTTTATATACCTTTGTTATTGTATTCAGGATTGTGGGAAACGGTATTTTGATCTCTCTGTCTGTAGCCTACATACAAACTGAAAGATTGACAATAAAGTTGACTTTGACTTGGACTTGACTTTGACAAGCTAAAATATATGTTTGTCTAATATTGACGTCTAATATTTGAGTAAATGCGTTTTGTAAATTGTAAGGTTCTTGTTTGTTGCAACTGGGGATGTAGCTCAGTGGTAGAGCGCATGCTTTGCATGTATGAGGCCCCGGGTTCAATCCCCGGCATCTCCACTCATTTTGAAGTGGTTAAATCCGAAGGGATTTGGTTTGGGAACCGGTACAAGTCCCAAATGCAGAACAAATCATTATCACCTGTGACAGTGATAACTATGGAAACCTGTTTGCGCCACTGGAATTCATTTTTTTAATCCTGTAAGTCAATATATTGACTTAGCTATCTCAACATATCGACTTACTATCTCAATATATTGACTTAGCTATCTCAATATATTGAGTTATATATTTTTTTTTATTGAAACAATTATGTCAAATACAGAATAAGGCACATAGACATCAATGTTCATCATATAAGCGGTACAACGTCATATTAAGGTACACACATTCACCATCAACTAGTTAACATGCATATTAGCAGTATATTGGCTCTTTATTAGTCATTATAAAACACTTATTAATGCCTTATTCTACATGACCATAATCTACAAGTAATCTGTGTATGTTACACTTGCATGTATGAGATTATTAAGTGCCTTGTAACTTCTTTTTTTATAGTTTCACTCCATTTGAATGTCAGTGGACTGCAAATTTGTTTATTTTTGTTTATTTTATTAGGATCCTCATTAGCTGGTGCATAACAACAGCTAATTTTCCTGGGGTCCACAAATAACATAAAATATGACATTCGACAGTACATTACAAGACAATGATACAAATCGTGTACGGCGTCAATTTTCCTTCAAACAGTGACTTTCATATCAACCATCACATAGCCTACAGCTTATTTTCTTATTCCCCATTTCTTTGGAAAGAAAAATTCAAAAAAAGAATAATAATAATAGTGATTTTCCAAATGTCTCCCTTCGCTTCTTTTAGAGTAAAAACAAACTAAACAAATACAATCCTCATCATAACTGTGAAAGGCTGTGTGTGTGTCTATGTTAGCGAAAGTACCATATTCCTGCATGTGTTTAAAAAACCTATATGAATCGGTGTGCTGCTGTATGTTTACCATAACCTGTCTGCCGCTTGTGTAATTTACAATCTTTGGGCTTCTAGATGCCTCTTCAATCGTCTTTTGAAGCTTGCTTTAGTTGTTTCTTTAGAAATCTGATCTGGCAGTGTGTTCCATGCAGCCATGGCTCTATACAGCACTGTGCTCTTCATAGACTCTGTTTTGAGTCAATAAAGGAGCATGGCTGCTCATTCCCTGGCTCTCAAAAGAGTTTGGCTGGCTGTTTAATCTATGTTCACACTGAGACAGTACAACAAATAGAGAGAACAGTACACCTATTGTGTAAGTATACATACAAGCAGGTCACACAGAATGATCACAAATACATAAACTCTGTTAAAAATCAGTTTTATTAAAAAGTACAGGCTGCATATTATGTTCTCAGCCTTGGAGAAACTTGACATGTTTTGGTATGTGTCTGAACCTCTCTTTAGTGGTTCATTAATAAAACAGATATTTCAACGTGAGCCTACTTTGTTCATGTACTGTTGAGGTTAATTTCAGTAGTTGTGTGCTATAATGTATTTACAAAGTGTGAAGAGGAGGAAACTTTAGAATAGGGAACCTGTTCAGGTCAATTAGAGTCAAATTAGCTTATTGGTTATGAACAAGACTTCACTTTAAAATAAGGAACATATTCTTTGATAGAAATACCTAATTTTGAGTTATTTAGACATATTGAGCCGGAGAGAATATTAAGACCAACGCTTGTGTACAACAACTTCCTTCCTTGCAATAAATAAGGAATATTAGAGGGTTATTGAGGAAAAACTCCCAACTAATGGCCTATTACCTGTAGAATATAGTCATGTAGAATAAGGCATTAATAAGTGTTTTATAATGACTAATAAAGAGCCAATATACTGCTAATATGCATGTTAATTAACAACTAGTTGATGGTGTACCTTAATATAAAGTGTTACCACATTCACATTTAATGTTTATGAAATGTATGAAATATAGGTGTACAAACCACAGGACAAAGTTTAAATTAAAAAGCAAGCCTTTTTATTTGTTGAATATATAGTGGTGTTTTTTACTTTTCCCAGGTAGGCACACCTTGCATGCTGTTTGGCTGCAGAGGCGAGAGATATTGCACAAGGCACTTTACATTCTGCCACTCTCTCAGCTTTGAGGCAGCACAAACAACATCTTCCACCGTGGATACTTACAAACTGAGGCCAAAATAACCCACACGACCCCGTACACGTATTTTTACTTATAGAACAGTCAGACTTTAAATAGAATCACATATTCATACACGCACATCTCACATCAGTAAAAATCATACTAGCTCAACATTTGTACAGACCTGCATCTATTGACTTGCACATTTTCTAAAACAATAGACATCTCCGTGAAAGAAGAAGATGTTATCAAGCTAAAGGTGACATTCAAATACGATCACAGAGTAGAGCTAGAAAGAAGTGGGAAGAGCTGCATGTCTCATCAGCTGTCTGCTGGCGTCATATGTGACAGTGTGAAGAACATTGTTATCAACCCTTCTTTAGGAGGTTGTTGTTGTATACCCCAGATTAGTGTTATGAACCACTGGGTATGATCAGCCGGGTAATGCCTAAATTATGACAAATATATTCCAAATGATGTTTTGACTCCAAAGCTTTACAGGACAATAATGCCAATAATGTTCCTTACATCTGATACCAGAATAACATTTTTTTAGTAGTTCATTCTCAGGGTTTGTGAAATAACTACTAAATGAAAAGGGGGGAAGTGTGTGTCACAAGCAGAAAAGAGCAGCATGTGAGTTGAAAATACGACAGGTGATGGGTGGGGGGGGCCGGTGGTGGCATAACAGCTACATGGCAATACACAGCTGAAAACAACTCCTGCATTTTCAGCTAGCTCCTCCTGGATTTTGAGTGCTGGATGAGCCACTGAAGTGTTATGTCTGGAATCAAAGAAACACAGAATCAGTCTGAGCATCGATGTATTATTCAGCCAATTCTAACTAAAATTGCTATTACAAGCAGACACTAGGGGTGCGTTCACACCTGCCTTGTATAGTCCGGTTGAATCGAACCCTGGTGCGTTTAGCCGCTTGGTGCGGTTCATTTGGGTCGGTGTGAACACAATCCGAGACCTCTTAAGTGAACTAAACAACCGGACTCTGGTCCGCTAAAATAGGTGGTCTCGGAACGCTTACTTGCGAACACATAGCGTTGTGTGTTCCTTCCAAACAACTCAACTTTGGTTTCATCTGTCCACAGAATATTTTGCCAGTAGTGCTGTGGAACATCCAGGTGCTCTTTTGCAAACTTCAAACGTGCAGCAATGTTTTTTCTGGACAGCAGTGGCTTCCTCCGTGGTGTCCTCCCATGAACTCCATTCTTGTTCAGTGTTTTACGTATCGTAGATTCGTCAACAGAGATGTTAGCATGTGCCAGAGATTTCTTTAAGTCTCTAGCTGACACTCTAGGATTCTTCTTCACCTCATTGAGCATTCTGCGCTGTGCTCTTGCAGTCATCTTTACAGGACGGCCACTCCTAGGGAGAGTAGCAACAGTGCTGAACTTTCTCCATTTATAGACAATTTGTCTTACCGTGGACTGATGAACATCAAGGCTTTTAGAGATACGTTTGTAACCCTTTCCAGCTTTATGCAAGTCAACAATTCTTAATCGTAGGTCTTCTGAGAGCTCTTTCGTGCGAGGCATGGTTCACATCTGGCAATGCTTCTTAAGAATAGTATTAGTAAGTATTTTTTATAGGGCAGGGCAGCTTTAACCAACACCTCCAATCTCGTCTCATTGATTGGACTCCAGGTTGGCTGACTCCTGACTCCAATTAGCTCTTGAAGAAGTCTTTAGCCTAGGGGTTCACATACTTTTTCCACACTGCACTGTGAATGTTTACATGGTGTGTTCAATAAAAACATGAAAACATATAATTGTTTGTGTGGTATTAGTTTAAGCAGACTGTGTTTGTCTATTGTTGTGACTTAGATGAAGATAAGAACACATTTTATGACCAACTTATGCAGAAATCCAGGTAATTCCAAAGGGTTCACATACTTTTTCTTGCAACTGTACGCGTCACAAGAACGCGGATATCTTCAAAATCTTCGGGAGAGTCTTTCAAGACATCCGCGGTTGTTTAGTTAAAGAGTGAAGCAGAATAAAGTGTTGAACAGTGTCGTGTAAAGTAAAAATGCTCCGTCAACTATAAAAGTAAGAACACCTGTCGTCGGTGAAACGCCCCTCCTTACTGCAGAACGTCTCTCATTATATGTGTTATAATGTTTTTTAACGGACATTGTCTGATTATAGAATCATATGCGCGGGCCGCTAGTGTCTGTTGATCTCCATATTAACAGCAGCATGAGAATAACCTGCCGAAAGTGCCGATGCTCCATGGCGGAGGCTCCGGTAGAAATTGCCGGGATTTGCGTTTTTACCCCCTTAATGTCTGACCAATGGTTGAACAGCATTTCCGTGCACATGACTTGTGTTTAAAGTTTATAGTCAGTTTGAGTTTTGCCCGTGTGAACGCAAACCGAACCTTCTGAAAAATGAAACAATGTAACAAACTGTTGTTCTGGTGCGCACAAGAAAACAGACTATTAGATGTGAATGCACCCTAAAACACTTCACAGAGAGACAATAGCTGTCACAATAGCCATGAAGCACAGATGTATACGCTTTTTACTTTTGACGATTTATAAGTTAGTCTTTAATAAACTGCTTAGCCGAAAGGACAAAGATATCCGTATTGCAATATTTGATCGCACGGTCATTGCAGCTTCGTATCATACATTATTTTGGTTTTCCTCTCGCTAGTCATTGACATATGCCAGACTCTGAAATTGAGTTCAATCACTGCAACTCACCAATGTTGTCTTTCTCTTTGCAGGAAATGGAGTAGCAGCATATCTCTCTGTCCTGAATGGCTGCCAGATTCCTTTGAAGGGGGAAAAGGGGCATAAATATAAGAAGTTTGCTATCAGGCTGACAATCAATCTCACTCCCTGGACAGGCTCCAGTATGTGCAGAACTCGGCTGCCAGGGTGCTCACTCACACCAAGCCCTGGCAGCACATCACCCCCACCCTGATCCACCTACACTGGCTCCCAGTCAAGCACCGTATCACCTATAAACTCCTTCTTCTGACTTACAAATCCCTCCATGCCCTCGCCCCCCAATACCTGTCTGACCTTCTCCGCTACCACACTCCATCCCGGAAGCTAAGATCATCTGGACAGGATCTCCTCTCCACCCCCCGCACCAGGTTGCGGACTTTTGGTGACAGAGCCTTCAGTGTGGCATCCCCCACCCTCTGGAACTCTCTCCCCCCCGAAATCCGCAGCGCCCCAACCCTGGACATTTTCAAAAAAGCCCTCAAAACGCACCTTTTTACCAAGGCTTTCGCCACTGTATAGTTAGTTTAATAGGTTTATTTTTCCGCTACTTCCCCCCCCCCCCCCCCCCCCCCTTAACCTGTCTGCCTTTTTTCCCCTACTCCCCCCCCCCCCCCCCCCCTACCCGACTTGTAAAGCGACCTTGGGTTTCCTGAAAGGCGCTATAAAAATATTATTTATTATTATTATTATTACTCATAGGCAGCTTATGCAGCAACTCTGCACATATTTCTAACATGACAGCAGATGGAGCCATTTCCTGCTTTACATAGCAACAGTTTTACCAGTAGAGATGTCAGAGGAAATTGCATTGTCATTAGCATAGGCTGTATTGGTCAGAGGCAGACATGTTGGTTCAGCTGATGGATGAAAAAGCAAACCAGATTAAATGAAAAGTTGTAATATGGTCAGGCAGAGAACCATTTCCAGATACCTTCCTTCATGCAGGTTGCTTTCCTAATATTAAGAATTATTATATGTTTTATTGCAATTTCCTAAATTAAGTCAGGCATATAGGTTTAATGAAAATATTTAAAGTTTTCCACACGTGTCAGACAAGGAACATTAATAGACTGTAGAAATGTTCAATGCAAGGAAATAGTAACTTAACTCCAGACCTTGTGTGTAGACCAGACACAGTTTGAAATAATGATATTCTGATATTGAGTCCTAAATAATTTTTCCATTTAACCATTAAACAAGAAACTAAAAGGGCAATGTCATGACAGAAAGAGACTATAGTGCACTAAAGTACATATGAAACAGTGCAAAACTGGGCTTCAGCTCTAATTTAATTAAATTGATAACAACTTTGCACCATTTGACATACATACATTTTCTCAATGAGCTGCTTTTCATCTAGAGCACTGGGGAGATCCCTTTTGTTACCGAGTACCAAAACCTAAAAAAAACAAGACAATTTAAATAAGCAACTGCAGCAAGTAATAGTTGTTAAAACCCACACACAGTTCTGCATAAATGGTGCAGAAATAGAATATTGGTTTCTGGAAAACACTTACAGGAATTCCTTGCAACTGAGGTTTGTCTAATAAATTATGAAGCTCGTTTCTAGATGCCTCCACCTTTTCTTGATCTGCTGCGTCAACCATGTACCTAGAAATGAGCAAGACCAAAATAAGTTAAATGTGTTTTACATACATTAAAAGTACACTACGTCCATTTCAAGAGCTTGTTACCATTTATTATGTTTGTCAGACAAAGATGAAGATTGAAACTGATATACTCACACGATTGAATTAACTCCCCGACAGTACCGCTCCCACATGCTCCTGAACCTTGGCTGCCCTCCTATGTCCCAGATCTACAGAATGACAGGCACATCTTCATGTGATATTCATACTTTAATTATAACTTCCTTTGTATTAAAAAGGTTATTTACAGTTACACTGCACTGACAGTATAAGGATTGAAATACCTTTATGGTGACGTTTCCTTTGGTGACCTTCCTCATATTGAACCCCACCGTAGGGATCATGTCTTCACTGAAATGCCCAGACTGAAAATAAATACATAAGTAAAAATACATCTTAAAATAAAACTGACAATAAAAACAGTATAATAAAGCTGCAAATGGACATTTCATACATAGAAAAATATCCATAAAACATAATCCATTATGTTCCAGCCCAGTAAGAGGACAGAGAACACAGTATTACAGAGTTTTTGATCCCCTAATCGTTTTACGCATCCATATTAAAATAAACTATAATATAATCTCTAATAGAACAAATGTATTATCATTATGACATGCTGCACTGGATCTCTTGTACTTTCACTTGTTTACATACCTTTATTATAACATAGCTTACAGTGTAATACTTCTCATCATACAGTATTTAAGATTTAAATGGGGTACAGAAAAGGTTAGAAAAATTATAGAAAAAACACTCAAATCTAGTTTATGTGTTATTGTATCCAAAACTGTTAAAAGGCAGGTACTTGTATTTGTGAAACGCCAATATGTTCTCCTAAAGCAAATCAACAAACCAAGATAAATACTGTAAAACACTAAAACCAGATGTTTTTCTCAACGTATTGTGGCTTTTGTGATTGCTCATTTTGTGTCAGCATACAGAATCAGTGGCATTCCCCTTTAACATCAAACTCCCAAGCTGTGTCTCGCCCTTCTCCCTGCCCTCTTTTATAAACCAGCGGGCTGCTGTACGCACATTTCATTTCACAGCACATGACTTGCAGGAGTCACCTGATGAAGCTAAGTGGAAATGAGTGCAGCAGTCTCATGACTGAGGAAGGAGGAACCACCCCCACAACAACCATTCATTCACTCCTCTGTGTCAGAGGCTGCCATCTCTTACGTGTGTGAAAGAAGGATCTTAGTTTTGTTCCAACCACAAAACACACACATTTCCTCCTCAGACACCAACCATCTGATGCTTAGTAAACAAAACGTTTCTGCACTAAAAAATACTATGCACTGATTTTCTTTCTTTTTTTCAAAGACTTTGTAATTAAATATTTCAATCGTCCAGTTCTGTCTCTGATTAGTTGAGGTGTTTGATTTTTCATTTATGAATCAAACCGATAAGCAACTCAAAACAAAGCAGAGAAACTTAAGCTTACTTTTCACAATATGCTGCTGAAAACTCAGTTTCTGTCTGATGATTAGCCAAAGAAAAGTTGCTCCACTATAAACCTTTGAGAAATGTTGGCAAATTGCACAAAGTTGCAGAGTTGCACAAGAGAAATGGCCTGCCAAGAAAGGATGCTCTGCAGCCACAGTCACATGAGGTCAAAGATACAATCTGTGTGTAACTTGACCACAATTTGCATTAAAGCTGCTGCAGTATGAGTCTTGTAAAGTTGTTAAGCATTGCTTTATATCACTTTTAATATGCAACTTGCAACCTGTTCTCAGACACCAACAACAACTGAGACATGGATATTTTTGTAAATATGTCCAAATAATATGTTCAAACAAAAAAAACTGACCCAGCTACAGATTTACTTTTTGTTCTAGGCTCCTAAAATCTGTAAAAAAAATCATTTGTTTTTTGCGGAGAATGTCATTTTTAACCTGTTGCAGGACACCTGTATGTACCTGTATGTAGTCAGCAGTGGCTGAAAGGTTCAACATGTTCTCAGTTACCTTCCTGTCTGACAGCTTTATACTCGCTATACCACGACCCTACAGCTAGTAAGTGATGCAATTTTACCACAACAAGGCATATATGTGTATGTTGCGTTCAGGTTTCAGCATGCTAAACAATCCTAACATAATTAGCCACTAGCCGACGACGACCCTCCAGCAGAAAACTAGTTAGCTCAGCTGACTTGTTGACATTCTTCCTACAACCTGACTCATGTCCAGGTTTGTTTTTATGGATGCTTCTGTCCTAAACATATCAACGTCACATTGTTTTTCTACCCGAAGACCCAGACAGTGTAGCATTACCTAGTTAGCCTAACTCTTATCCCATTATTAGCGCTAATAGTATTAGCACTGCCCCTAGCAAGGTGGCTAGCAGCTGAAGACTTACAGCGATCACGTTTACAAATGTAGTTTTTCCCGAGTACTGGAGGCCAACCAGCGTCAGCTCCATCTCCTCCTTCCAAAACATAGTCTTAAACCAGTCCAGCAGCCGGTTCACTAGGGCCAGCATCTTCAGGTCGGTGTCCACACTCCCCCACGGTAGTGTCTGTCTCTCCCTCCCTGTCAGATGTGGCGTTTTCCAGCGAGGAAGGGAAGTGGGACGCAGGCAGCTGTCATATGATCAGTCTGCAGAAAACGCACCGACAGCGCCCCTGCAGGCAGATGAAGGAAATACATCCATAGCGTGCAGCGTTGTCTTTTATCCACTAAAATGCATTGCACTCAAGTATGGAGGACGGTTAGGGCCACATGAAGAAAAAAACGTGGGGATGTGAATTTTTTTTTTTTAAATGTATTGTTCTAAGAAAAAAGTCCAAATTCCGACTTTTTTCTCAGAACAAAAAAACCCATAATTTTTCACATCCCCCCAAAAATAAATGAATATGGCCCGATAGTTCCGATAGTTCTTGGGATTTTGCGTTCACACCAAAAAGATTTGGAACTAGAACCTAGTTCATGCGAACCTTTTCACCCCTTTTCAGTCCCTTCTAGAGAGGTGGTACTTGGGGAGGAAAAGGTTCCAATTTCTGATTGGCTGGGCGAATTGCAAACCACGCCCCGTAAAACTCCGAAAAGTTTTGTGAAGCCGCCATTTTATCTGCTCGCATTAGCATTATTAGCATTAGCCCAGCGCACCAACGGAGAGAGACTAACTTATGGCAACACAAAATAAAACATGGGAGCGGTGGAGTGGTGAGGAGGAGTCGGCGCTTCTTGCGATTTACTTAGAAGGCTTCAGTAGAAGCTGCTGGGAGTCCCAGGAGCTTCTACTGAAGCCAGTCCCCAACTCCGGGGACTTCCAGGGACTTCGGGTGGGTAGTATACGCTGTGAACTTGTTTGCGCCCTGCCAGTAAACCCGAAGAAGAAGAAGAAGAAGAAGAAGAAGAAGAAGAAGAAGAAGAAGAAACGTCAGCGGCTTCATTTGCGTAATCCTCCCTCAGGGACTTATTCCGGTGTGAACACGATCTACTAGGACCGTTACGGGACTAAAGAGTTCGGCGGGACAAAGTACTGGGAACTAAGTACAGCAAAGTACTTGGTGTGAAAGCGGCTATTAAATACAAAAACAAAAGTTGAGTTAAAACCCTATTAAAACACATTATATATCTTTAATGTATGTTGACATTTATTTTCAATTGCATGTAGGCCTATGTATTTATTCATTTCTGTGTATGTGCGTGTTTCACGATATGTTGTTTTATTTGGTAGCCTTGTATTCTGTGGATACAACAACATTTATAACAAATGTACTTTCAATTGCTCTGAAAGTGCACGTGTCTTTAACAATATCTTTGAGTTGCTCTCATATTTTATTTCACTTCCTCTGACCAGTCCCACTTTTATTTGGAAGCTTTGTGTCACGTTGTAGACAGTGCAAGGAGAAACACAGTGACTGTTCTCTCTTCAATACATATTTTTAAAAGCTTACAGCTCCGGGAATCTCCGACGTATGTTCATGTTCTGGATAAACTGTAAAGCCCTCTGAGACAAAAGAACAAGAAACTTTGATTGACTTTGATTGATGGATTCAGCTTAAGAAGTACACTTCACTTCAGAGCCCTCAAGAGCCATATATAAATGTTTATTTGTGTCAAAAATTGTGTTGCTATTAAAGGTTTTGCTACCTAAAAGTCAGCAACAGGAGTGTAAGGGTTGGGATTTCTAACAGGTTTGAGATTTTTGATGTTGAAGCTGTTCTCCACTATAGCAGTGATGTGTCAGTCTGGTGGGGGAGTATTGTAGGTGGGTGGGTGCTACTTATGATTTGTTGTCATTGCATGTTTGCTTGTTTTGAAAGCATGAGTGGGGATGAAATATAACTTAATGACAACCATTTTCACTAACTGTTGTTTTCTATCAAATGTATCTTTTGTTGTTGTTGAGCTAATTAACCTTTTGGTGTCATGTTGAAATCTTTAATGTAGTGTAAATATACCCCTACTCATCCAGTAAAAAATAGAGTTGTACAAATAAAAAAGAGAATAAATGTTGCCTTTAAAAAATAAACTAAAGAGACGATTTATCTGAAGCCTAGGGAGACCTTATTTGTGACTTTGAAATTCAAAACAGACCAGGACCAGGGCCCCTTTTCATTGTATTCCTAATTTTGAAATAAGACAACAAGTCAAGAGATTAAAATACACAATAAAACTATCATTTTACTGCTGTCACAGCATGAATACATGCATACATTACATAACAAACAAAATCACAAGGGGAAATAAATACATAATACAGTACACACAGTCTGCCAGGATTCATCATCTGCGACCACAAACTACAGGTCTTGCTTCAAGGATGCTGTGTGCTTTGGTGTATATGGTGTTATATTAGCTGAATACACTTAACAGTATAATACATCCTATATAATACTTTGCTTTAATGCAAGTATGAAATGTTTAGAAATTACCATTAGTATGACCATAAGCCTTTTGGTTTGTTAGGTTTTTTAAACAAATCCTTCAAAATAAGAACAACTCGCTTTAAAACGGCTGAATGTCGGACCTATGAACTTAGTTCTTCTAAAATAACATACTTTTGAACAAGGTTTCCAGTTATAATACATGTTCGTAAGACAAATCCTGGTCTTTCACTTTCCTGCTGCTGATGGAAACCGGGAAGTGTGCTTCTGTAAGCCGGACAGGTTTATATGTAAATGTCTGCTAATAACAAACAAGATGATTTGTACAATTACATTAATATTATATTAGTCAACAGACTGAATAAACTGTAACCCGACTTCTTCCAGACACAGGGGGCCAATACTGTTGTTCTTGGATTCGTCCTGCATGATGAGCACGCTCCCACTCTCCTCCTTCGACAGGCGGGAGTCACTCGTGTTGATGGAGACCTCTTTAGGATAGTTATCTTGGGTAAATACAAACAAAGTCATGTTAAAATGCTCTATACACTCAACTACACTACACGTTCCCTACAATTTGATACTGTGATTTCATGTATGATACATAGTTTAAACATGATAGTCTATGATATTGTTCTCCATTGAGGCTCCTCAATGCTAATGCTGCTTATTCTTAAATGTGTATATAATGTGTACATGTTTCTTCTAAAACATAATATGTTTTCTATGTTATGTTCTCTCTGAGTCAAATTCCAATGAAATTAGAAATGAGCAGTGCAAACACTACAAACATAAGTTGAATGTATTTTTTACATTTCTTTCAGCAACTGTTTTCGAATAAGCTCTTTGTAATTCTGTTTTTACATTTTTTGACAAGATCCATTTTCAGTGAGTTAAATGTTTTTTTTGTATTGAAGGGTCATTTCTGTTTGTAGCAGATTTGGCTGATTTGAAGAAAAATTACTTGCAGGATTGTTGTTCCTTGAGTTTGTACATGCATCATTGATTGCACTTATAAATTGTTTTGGATAAAAGGGTCAGCTAAATGAAATGTAATTTGATAGTTAAATAAGTGTTATCTTTAAGGCCCACTTACGTGCTCTATACTTCTTTAGGTTCTTCACACAGGCATAAGAGAGAAACACAAGGAGGGTGAGAGAAACCAGAACAAAGCCGATGCCAAGGATCACAGGAACGTAGTCTACAACATCTCTGTGTCTCTCTGGACTTGGTTCACTGGTAAGATCTGGTGAAACATAAAATCATTGTCATGTTAGTTTAACTCAGCTAAGTTGTCATCAAATAAAAACATTAATTTTGCATCAACTTACTGGGACGTTCTTCTTTTAAAAGCTCACACTGATACGTATAATTTATCATCTTGGCGTCCAAGGCTATCTCTGCAGAAAGAGATGGCAGTTTGTGAAATGATGATTTAGATTTATTTTAAAGGTGGTCTAGGCTATCGTTATTATTATTAATATATTAACATTTTAGCATTAGCATTTAGATCAAAGCATTATCATATTTGAAAAGCTGAACATTGACGACAAGAAACAAAATTATTAGAAGAGTTATATAGATATATTTGATAGATAACTTACATATAATCTATCAATAAACACTTTCAAACAAAGCCCCAGAACATCACGACTAAAGTAATTCTTCAAGTCAACCCATAGCTGGCATTACTGGTGTAAAAGTATTGTGTTGTCAAGTGTTTTGACTTCCAAATGCTCCTAAAGATCATTATTAATATTTTCTTCTGATCACGGTAGACACAAATGCCAGTCAGCAGCCCACTCCCTACATTTCCTATTGCTTAAAATTTAACAAACACTTTTGCACAGTTCTTGACACTCAGCTTTCTATGACTGAATGACCAATGTGACAACGATTTGGAAAATCCCCATCAATTCTGTGTGCGTGATTTGATATATAAAGATACTGTAATTTGTTATTGTGGTTACATAAGAGTGGGTTGGAGCATTAATCCAACCTATATTCCAAGGCTGTGTCCAACCCACATTTATTTCAATGTACCACCCTTGACATTCAATGACATGATACTCAAATATAAAATAAAAAAACTCAAATTTAAGTTATTCAAACCTGCTTTGTGCAAACGCGGCATTCATTTGAAAAGAGAAATGTCCACTCTCACCTGTTTTCTTTGGTTTTTCCCCCTTGACGCATTTGTTTTCCTGACACTCTGAACAGACATTGTTGGAGCACAGAAAACCATTGTGGCACGAGCAGTTTGCATTTGTGGTGTTCTGACATTTCTCAGCATATTCTGTAGACAGACAATAATTCAAACCACAGGACTTTCAGGAACAACAGTGTTGTATTGTTTCCACTAAAATGCATTGTTAAATGTATTGCACATATCAACAGGTGTTTCACTATAGATATCCAAAAAGAGAGGAGGACTATTCATTTTCTCTAAATCAAACTTTTACAAACATTAATTTCAGTCTTACCATATAGGCATGATCGGCATTCCTTACATCTGTCGAACATGTTGTATTGGTCTGAGTAGAAACCTTCCTTACAGGGTCTACAGACAGTTTGCTGTTTCTTGGTGCAATAGTCCTTCATATGTGTACCTTTAATGATAAGAAACAATAGAACCAGTCATTTACATGGACAAACATGACAGACAAGTAGACACAACTATTTCAAACACATATTATCTAATAATTAAAAGACGAATTAAGTGTTTTACCTGGAGGACACTTATTACAGCCTCGCCCATCTACCTGATGCTGATGTTCCCCACAGCCTGCAGCATGCACTATAGTCCAAAAACGTAATGCAGATATTACTGCCAAGGAAAGTCTCAGAGAAATCATTATG